CACCAACACCTCCCCCTGCCCCAGGTCACTCCCACTGCCCACCTTGCTCGCTCCACTGTCTGCCATCCCAGGCTGCTCTGTCCCGGAAGAGGACACAGCTGGGGGCTCTGCCATAATCTCCATCATCCATACTCAGACCTGTCGGGTGGGGGCACCCTGGGTCCTCTCCTCTCCTCCCTAAGGGATATTAAATCCCAGGCTCTCCACCCCCAAACCCAGATCTCAGGCCCAGACCTCTCCCCCAGCTCTCAACTCGAATATCCCAACTACTTACTCCACACCTCCCATGACACCCTCTGAGGGCCAACAGCGTCCTGTAGTTCTTGGAATAAAATTCAAACCCCTACAACCACCTGAAAGACTCTTGTGGCCTGGCCCCGCCGCCCTCAGGAACTCATCTCATACCACTCCACGCCACCCACATTGTCTCTGCTCCAGCCACAAAAGCCTCAGGGTTGCTCCTCAAACATGCCAAGCTGTTCCTGCCTCAGGGCCTTTGCACATGCGGTCCCCTCTAGCTGGAACACACAGCTCCTGCAGGGAGTAAATGGTCCCTGTGGTTTCTATTACTACCATTGGCTCAAGTCCAATTCAATAATTGAGTCTGAATCCAAATGTACCTCCTCACTGGCCTCCTTGGAAAGCGAAGTGGTATCCACGGGGCCCCCATAAACCAACACTCCACCTTCAGATGCTTCTGTATAGAAAGATCTGGTTACAGTTTAGCCGGGTCAAATAAAGAATTGCCCCCGATGAAGCCAGAGAGAAAAACACCCCAAGTCCCCGGGGAAGGTCAGGCCACTTGTACTTTGCAGAGCCAGGGATCTGGTTTTGATCCCCTGTGTACCCAATCCACAGACCCCTCTGTACCTCTGCAGCGTTGGCCCCCAGCGCCTGCGCCAGCGCTGTGAGCACACAGCACAGATGAAGAGTCAGAGGAATGGGCTCCAGCCCATGTACTCCCCTCCTCAGGGTGCCTCTTCAGTGAGGCTGGTCCGCTCTTCTCAGACCCCACTCCCCCATCTGTGAAATGGGCACAAGCCCTGCCCCACCAGTGCCACAATGAGGATCAAATAAAGGGCAGGTGTGACATCACGCTGAAAGGTCGGGCACCCTGGAGGCAAATGCATGGTAACGGTCACCAGGGCTGTGGAAGCCACGTACAGACCACTCCTAAAGAGGCCAGGCAATGGTCAGAAGATAGATTAACCTTATTTGGATCCTGACAGAAAATAAAAGAAATGTTTATATTTGAGGCAATGGGGATTCTGAAGACTAACTGGGTATTGGATATTAAGGAATTATTGTTCATTGTTTTAAGTGTGATAATAATATTGCGGTCATGTTATAAAAGTGGAGGCACCTTGCAGTATCTATGGAGCATGAGTATTAAAATAACACGGGAGCAGGGGGTAAGTGGGGGGGGGTGAGCAGGGTGGGGGGAGTGGGGAGGGGAGAGCAGGTGGCGCTGCTGCAGCGTGGTAGTGGCTGATGCTAGGATGTCTGCTTCCTTTTGAACATCAAATTCTCCATCACGGGAAAAACTTAAACAAATCCATCAGCCCTCCTACCTAATATGCAAGGTGTTACAACAGCACAGACCTGGGAGCTTTAGGGACACGGGTGGGAGCAGAGACCCTCACAGCTGCAGGGGCCTCAGAGGTCCCCAGAACTTGATGGAGATCGTGGCCCAGAGAGGAGGTGCTTCCCAGAAGTCCCACACATGCCCTGCTGGTCCACATCCCAACAGGCCATTTTTCTGTGGATGACGAACGCCCCAGCCCAGACAGCCTCCTGGCCACCGGTTTCCTTTGTTTTAATTTTATGAACAGGTCGGGGGGGGAAGGGGCAGCTCCCCAGAAGCTTCTGGACTCCTGACCTGCCAAATCAGTGGCTTCAATGGAACAGGCACAGGCTCCGACTGAAACAAACTTCTCATGCCCTCCTCTGTCCAGGGTCACTGAAGAAAGAACCGTTTGCCCCCCTCCCCCACCCCGCCCCGGGGCAGGAAGAGGTTCCGCACAAGCTCGGTCCCCACACGTCTTCTCTGGTTGGGCGCAGGGTCGGGGGGGAGGCGAGACAACGAGTACTGCTAAGTGTAAACACCTATACAGGTGCCCTGCCCTGTTTTAGGCACTTTGCACACATTAACCCATTTGTTTCTTTCTCCCGGGAACCCTAGGAGGAGGTGATAACACTGTCCATATTTTACAGATGGGGAAGCCAAGGCTCAGAGTGGCCAGCTCCTCTCACGGTCACATGGCTGGGACGGGGGTCGGGGCGTCAGGCTCCAGCACCAGCTGTTAACCAGTGCACTCTCTACCGGTACTGGGCACCCATGTTATTCCGTCTGAGCTTCAGGACGCCCTGCTGCTTGATGCCCATTTGAGAGGTGAGAAAACGAGGACCCAACTCAGCCTGGTCTCCTGCCTTTCAGGGACACAGAAACCGGGACAGTGGCCAGATCCAGCTGCCAGCAGCTCTGGGAGCCTCCAGGCAGATGGCTGGGACGGGACCCTGCAGCGGAGCCCCACACGGACATCTCTGAGGTCATTCCCCTCCCTCAGTGCCGGGCCCAGAAGGGGACCCTCAGATGTACCCTGGGCGGCCCGGGAAGCTTCTGGATACATGTGGCACATCTTCCTTGAGCATCAATTTTAATCAAAGGATTGAGGGAAAAGTAATTTATCTGAAAAGAAACTGAAAGCATCATTTTCATATCCCAAAGCTATTCTCACTTAGATTTGAAGGGCAGTCACTGGCAGGCTTGGAATGTCTCCACCCAGGAGACAGACCTCAGGGCCCTGGGAGGCAGCTGGCCCAGTGGGGAGGGCGTGAATGCTGCAGCCACAACACAGGGGGCCTGGCTCTCCATTCACTGGCCATGTGACCTCAGAAAGTCATCTAAACATCCCTGCCTCAGTTTCCTCATCTGTAAAAGGGGACAGTAACAGCCCCTGCCTCATGAGGCTGGTGTGAGTGAGGAATGATCCAATCAAGTGGACAGTTAGGGCCTGAGAGCCATTAGCAAAGGTGCCCGTGATGCTTTTGGGGAAGGATGGCCAAGGGCGGCCACTTTACAGGTCAGGAGGCTGAGTCCCCAAAAGGGAAAGTGACCTGCTCCAAAACTAGGTCTCTGACTCCCTCTGTGGTTCATTCTCCCCCTCCTGCTGCCTCTGTGCCTTGGTTTCGCCATCAGTAAAAGAGGATAAAATCAGGGAATGGGTATGCACGCCAGGCACTTCCAAGGTGGCTGAGCTCTTGCTGGAAGCCACCATCCATGGCGTGCCCACAACCGACTCAGCTGGAACTGGCTTGTTAGGGAGATGCCAAGATCCATGGGATGTTTAGTCAAGTTTCCAGACCTTAAAACATCTCGCTGCAGCGCCCATCAACAGATGAGTGGATAAAGATGTAGCATATATACACAATGGAATATTACTCAGCCATAAAAAGAAAAGCATCAGATATTGCCATTTGCAAAAATACAGATGGACCTGGAAGGTATTATGCTTTGTGAAGTAAGTCAGAGAAAGACAAATACTTTTTCACTTATATGCGCAATCTAAAAATTAAACAAATGAATACAACAAACAAACAAAACATCTCACTGAGGTTGCACTTCAGCAACTCAATGACATCAACCAAGTAAATTCCTACCGGCTCTACCTGACCACCTGTCAGGTTCTCCACATGTATTTCTACCCCCACCTCACATGTGACTTATCCCCAGCCAACTACAGTCCCCCAGCCTCTGTGTAACCTCAGTGTGCCACACCCTTCCCTGCCTATCTCTCACCCATCTTCCAACTCAACGGTCACTTCCTCCAGGAAGCCCTCCCGGACTTCCCACAAGCCCCTGGCTTCCCTCTGTCACACAGAGGCTAGACTTTGAGTCCTCCATGGACAGGGGACTGGGGAGGTGGCTGTCCACAAGGACTAGCCCGGCTCAGGCCAGTGCACTGTGTCCGTCTTCACCCCTCGGCCCCTGCCGTGCTGTTGGTTTGAGAAATGGTTTAACATCACTGCATTAAAGGAGAAACTCGCAAACAAGACCCTAAAACCACCAACAGAGAGAGACCAAAGGATATTTACTGTTGAGTCTTAGATTTTGAGCTCTCACCAGGACAAATGTCAACACTGCATTTCACCGGCAATAAGCACCGCGTGCTCTGGAATCCACACAGCCTCCGTCACAAAACCTCAAAGTCTGTGGCCTCCAGACAGCCAAGGCCAGGTCCCCACCCCGCCGACAAGGACTGAGGAACTCCTCCCCTCCCACCCTGCTTCCTTCTCCTGGAGCCTTAGCCTCCACTCTTCACACACCTGCCAGGACCTGGGGAACCCCCAAGCCAGTGCTGTTGACAGTGGCACCGGGCCAAGGTTTGGGAAAAGTGAAAGCGTCCAGGGCCTCTCCCCTAACTGTCGATTTTGGAGGCTGATTTAAGTTTTGGGCATATTAAGTCTTGGGGGTCCATCCCCTGTGATGAGCGGGCCCCCACCCCCAGCCGGAGCCTCTGAGTCTGAATCAGCGCAACAACTGCGCAGCCTCAGTTTTCTCATCTGTGAAGCGGAGCGATGCTTCCTGCCTCCCAAGTTGGAGCTGAGGGAAATGATGTGCACCCGGCAGGATCGGAGACCCTGAATTTGGGGAGGAAAATGGGGGAACGGTGAAAGTTTGGGCTGAGACGGCCCAGCCGCGGGAGAAGCGAGGGTGCAGGGACGGTGCGGGGGAACAGGACTGGAGGAGTGGGAGAGGAGCGCGCGCTCCTGCAAAACGGGGGTGGGGTAAGGTAGGGGCTGGGGTGTGGGAGGGGCCGGGAACCCGCGGCGGCGAGGGCGGGCTCCGGGGTCCCCGCCCGTCTCCGCGCCGCGTCAGGTGGCCCGGCCCCCCTCCCCGCCTCGGCTTGCCCGCCTGAGCAATGGGCCCAGCCCCAGAACCCGCGCTGCGTCCCCACCTGGGCCCAGGCGGGTTCCTTCCCGCGGACAATGGTCCTTACCTGACTACAGCTCCGCCGGTGCCTCACCTGGGCTCGGCTCAGCCCGCGACTCACCTGGCCCCGCCCCGGACATGGCTTCCGTGCAGGCCCCGCCCCTCGCGCTACCCAGCCAGCGGTGTTTCCCCGGAGCACAGGACCTGAGTGGCCCAGAATCATTGCGGGCTATGCCTGCATTTCTGCGCATGGGCAAAGTCACTGTTCCAGCCCTGAGGCGGGGGTCATGTACTCAGGAAAGACCAGGCTGGGGCCCAGATACCCCTAGAGGTGCCACTGACGTTCCGCGGCCCCAGGCAAGAGGGTGACTGGTCCTCCGATAGGATAGCATTCCCACCCGGAGAGCCGGTCAGGAGGTGACTTCTAAGCGTGGATTTCTATCAGGCCCGGTGTCTGGCGCCCCCTTCTGGCTGCAGCTCTGTCTCCGCTGCCTCCTCCTCGTCTCCCTGGTTTCTGAAGATCGGCGCCCGGGACTGGGGCTGCACCTGTTTTCATTTACTCCCCAGCCTCCTGCTTTCAATATAGCCTATACCAGATGATCCCCAACTGTTGTCCCCCGACTCCAGCCTCCTGCCTCTGACTGCCCACCTGACATCCCCACACGTCCACGTGGGCTCCTCTCCTGGGCTTCCCATTCGGTTCTCCACCAGCCCCTTCCCAACCCGTCGGGGCATCCTTGGCTCCCCTCATTCCCTCACACCCCATGCGTGGTCCCTGGATGAGTCCCGATAGCTTTTCCTTCAAAACATGTCACAGTGCCACCACTTCTGTCCACCCACACTGGCCCACGTGGTCCAGGCCTCCAGCATCTCCACGTGACTCACTGCAGTAGCCTCCTAATGCATCTCGTGGCTTCTGCCCTTTGCCCCTTTCCATCTGTGTTAGCACAGCAGCCAGGGGCATCCTTCCATGCGATCCTGCCGTGCCCCTGCTCATGTCCCTCCCCCTTCCTGCTCTTGGGGGAGGGGGCCGGCGCTAGCGGCTGCACAATCCCAGACTGCCTTGCGTGAGGGGGCCGGCGCTAGCGGCTGCACAATCCCAGACTGCCTTGCGTGGAAGGTGGCACGGCTGCTGGCAGCTCTGGGGTCACGTGTGGTGGGCTCTGTGGTCCCCAGTGGCCTGTGTACAGCAGCCAAGACAATCAGGTGTGTTGACCCCTCCCCATTTCTAGAGGGGGGATCTGATTGCAGAGGCCAGCTGGCATAATATCACACGCTGTGACAGTGACTGGTTCCGGTTCCGGAAGTCACTGGGCCCGAGCCAGTGACGCAGGCCTTCGCTGGGCCACAGTGAGCAGTTCAGGACACTCCAGTTGGTGGGAGGAGCTGGCCTTTGCCTGGAAGTTTGGGGAAGAACAAATCCTGCTCTGTCCTTTTCTCTCCCCCAACTTAGATGAGAAGCTTAGTGCACTGGGAATAGCAAGAAGCCATCCTGTGACCACAGTGGGACCTAGGCTTAGGATAAAACAGAGATGGCAAGGAACTGGGTCCTTGGTGACCTTGCAGAGCCCCTGGATCAAACCCACCCGGGGGGCCCACACTTCCTCCAGACTTTCTCATTAAATGCACCAATAAATTCTCTTACTGTTTGAACTAGTTTGAATTTTCTATTTCTTACAACCAAAATGCCCTCTGATAAAATATCTTTATACCTTTTAGCCAAATTGCAAAGAGTTTCTCTCCTGACAGCATTAGCAGAAAAAAAAACCCAGGGAAGCCCAGGATGGCTGAGCCCAAGACACATGATCATTCCAGGGATAGGAAGGGAGTTAGACAGACCAAAACCTTATCCTCCCCAAAGTCAAGACAGAGGGGGCCGGCGCTAGCGGCTGCACAATCCCAGACTGCCTTGCGTGAGGGGGCCGGCGCTAGCGGCTGCACAATCCCAGACTGCCTTGCGTGGAAGGTGGCACGGCTGCTGGCAGCTCTGGGGTCACGTGTGGTGGGCTCTGTGGTCCCCAGTGGCCTGTGTACAGCAGCCAAGACAATCAGGTGTGTTGACCCCTCCCCATTTCTAGAGGGGGGATCTGATTGCAGAGGCCAGCTGGCATAATATCACACGCTGTGACAGTGACTGGTTCCGGTTCCGGAAGTCACTGGGCCCGAGCCAGTGACGCAGGCCTTCGCTGGGCCACAGTGAGCAGTTCAGGACACTCCAGTTGGTGGGAGGAGCTGGCCTTTGCCTGGAAGTTTGGGGAAGAACAAATCCTGCTCTGTCCTTTTCTCTCCCCCAACTTAGATGAGAAGCTTAGTGCACTGGGAATAGCAAGAAGCCATCCTGTGACCACAGTGGGACCTAGGCTTAGGATAAAACAGAGATGGCAAGGAACTGGGTCCTTGGTGACCTTGCAGAGCCCCTGGATCAAACCCACCCGGGGGGCCCACACTTCCTCCAGACTTTCTCATTAAATGCACCAATAAATTCTCTTACTGTTTGAACTAGTTTGAATTTTCTATTTCTTACAACCAAAATGCCCTCTGATAAAATATCTTTATACCTTTTAGCCAAATTGCAAAGAGTTTCTCTCCTGACAGCATTAGCAGAAAAAAAAACCCAGGGAAGCCCAGGATGGCTGAGCCCAAGACACATGATCATTCCAGGGATAGGAAGGGAGTTAGACAGACCAAAACCTTATCCTCCCCAAAGTCAAGACAGTCAGCTTCAAGCCAGTCGTGCTAATGGTAGCCATGAACCATGAGGCTGTTTGCTCGCTGCAGTATCTCCACTGTCTAGCCCTGGGTCCGGCACATGGTAGCCACTATCGCCAATCAGTATGAATGAATGAATGACCACTGTTTCTCTCTACCGTCACTCAAGCAGCTGCCTGTTTCTGTGCAAAGAATTTGTAACCATCCTAGCACGTGGGCCTGTTCACCTCACACGGCACACTTGCATGTTATTTGTACCTTCCTTGCTCCCAGTGGACTTTGGTGGTGAGAAAGCAGAAGCATCTATGGTACTGCCTGACCTCTGAGTCTCATGCATACCTGAGCCCCTCGATGGATCAGGAAGGGGGCCTATTTCTGGGTCGAAACTCTTCTTCCCTCTCAAAACTTGACAAGGAAATCAAGAGGATGCCTAAGGCCAGGGACTCACACTTGATGGGTTTCGTCTAGTGCTTTGCACTGGTTTCTCTTTTCCTTTTGTGGAATGTAAACACCTTTTATTATCAGTGTCAGATGGGTCTCATGAAAGCCGGACAATTTGCAGGTTTTCTGGTTCAAAAAGCGACTTTGGACAGAAGTAAGAGAAAACACCCCCTGGATGGTCTACGGCTGGCAGAGTAATTCCGTGGTATAAAGACATGTCAGGGGGAATGCCACCCTCCTCGCATTTGTGTTTTGTGAAAATCTCATACAAATTCCACTACCATAGCTTAGTGATATTTAAATATATACAATAAAGCAATCATACGGAATGATTGTCAGGAAAAGAATGCAGGTGTATCCTGCCTTTCATAATAAAAGGAAAAAGAAGTAGAAAGAAACTGTGAGACCCAGGCCAGCTCCCTTTTTGGTTCTTCTGTTTTTCCCCAAGCACATCTAATCAATAACCCACCGGCTAGTCATTTCCTTTTGTAGCTATAACAATAACTCCTTGCATTTCAAATGCTTTGCGATAGAAAAGAAAGAATAATAATGCAAAATGAAGGAATTACATCTGAATGGTATTATTCCCAGCTTTATTAAATTTGCTCTCGGTACAAATGTTTATGAAGTCGGAGAGCTGCTTTTCCCCCAAGCAGCAAATTCCACATCAGTAAGCAGTGGGGGATGGGAACTTGAAGGAAGGAGGAAAGAAAGACCCCTGGTCTTGGACTTCTCATTTGTTTTTTCACAAATTAACTCTCCCTGCCAGCTGCTTGAGCCAAGACGTGGTCTGCTTTGAACCTTATTAAAACCATGAAACCAAAATAGGTTGAGCCAAAAGGCATCTGGGAGATCGTGTTCCAACCCTCCCCCTTAAGGGCGCAGACCAGCGAGGTAAGGGGTTTTCTCTGCTGCTGGGTAGCCAAGCCAGGAACCCCAGCCAGGTTTCCCGACTCCCTGCCCTCCTATCATGTGCCCTGGTCCAAGTTTTAGAGCAAATGCCTTTGGTTGTTAGCGTCGACTGCAAACTGCAAACCACTTCTCTGCAAACTGAGTACAACCCATATGCTCACTCCACGATGTCTTCTGTAATTGCTTGGACCTAATTGTTGAAACTCTTTTGATTTGAAACTGAGCACGTGACATTCTTGATGCTTTTTTGACATCAGGCTGGAACGCTGGTTGTGTCCCCTGACACCGTGCACCTTTCAAATGCCCTTGCTGTATTGGGATTCCCTGTCCTACCAGTCTCTCCACCCGAGGTGGCCAGACCACGGGTTTACCCAGAGTCCTTTGCAGCCAGGACCCAGACATTGACTAGGCTCCACCATTGCAAACTACACCATAAGAGAGGAGGTGGCCCTGCAATTTATTATGGGAAAGGGCAGCCTCGGATGTTCAGCTGGGGGTGGGGGTTGACGCTGCAGTGGGTACAAGTTTAAATACCTGGGACGTGATTGCTGTTGGTGCTGGTGACCGTTGTGGGTTTGGTCCAGTACAACTGGAGCATCCTTGTGGGGTGGGAGCATCTCTATGTGGTAAGCGCATCCCTGTGTGGTAGAAGCATCTCTGAGTGGTGGGAGCATCTCTGTGCCATAGCAGCCTCTCCGGGCAATGGGAGTATCTCTGTGGGGTGTGAGTATCCCTGTGCAGTGGTGCAGTAGTGGCAGTTTTCCCACCAGGCCTGTCATATGCGACGGTTTGAGGCATTTGGAAGGTAAGCCTCGAGCTTGGCTCTCCCACCTCCTGACAGCTCTAGGAACTCCCAACCTCCTTCAATAAACTCCTTCTCTGGGTAATCAGCAGAATCTACTGCCATTGCTTGCAGATAAGAGCCCTGCCTTATCCTCTGCACCCTCCTATTTCGTGCTACCCTGTCCCTCCTCCCCTGCCAAACACAGGCTGACATAAATCCCCACAGTGAAAAGAGAAATGCCAACATGAGAAATTCTTCTCGTGATGATGTCGATGATGCTTTACATTTTTATAGCTTTTTACAGTCTGTTAAAGCAGTTCTGAGTTTTCTGCAAACATGTCTGTCAATG